CATGCTCTGATGCATCATCCCACAGGATGGCAAAGCACCACTGCACTATGCCTGCGGTCACGGTTATGTCAAGGTGGTGGAGATACTATTGGAGCACGGTGCTGATGCTAAAGTCAAGGACAACGTCAGTACAGTACCGTTCTCTTTGCTCTTTTAACCCTCTGGCTGCTGCTGCTGCTGGTGGTCGTCGCCTTTGCCTCGTCCCTCGCTCTTCTACACCCTTCCCACCGTGCGCGTCCGTTCTGCCTCTTGTTCCTTTTCTTCTTTCCCGCTATCCCTGGTTTTTCCTCGTCTTCCGTCCGCCCGTTGTCGCTGCTCCCTGCCCCCCGCTTCTTTCCGCTGTATCTTCCGCCCACCTTCTTTTTCTTAATGTTGTGACTTCAAACCGAGCAATACCCCATCCCTTGCCATCGCGTCTTTGCCTCTCTCGCGCGCTCAAACGGCTTTTAGTGCCGTTTCTTCAAATTTACCCCGATGCTCCCCTCCACCCCTTTAAGAAAGAACTGCAAATAGGCCTCATGTTTCTGAACATTGATTATCTTATATAGGACCTTAGAACGCCGCTCCATGCAGCTTGCAACGTCTTTGCCAGCCGAAAGGTTGCTCAGCAGCTCTTGAGACGCGGCGCCGACCCAGATGCGAGAGATTTTGTAAGCCTTTCAACCACGATGGCGTACTTTTCCGCTCTTCTGCTGCACCTGCGATTGATTCGTGATGGGCTGCTGTGGCAGACGGGTGCACGGCCCTTGGATCTGTACCTTCGCGGGGATCTTATCCAGCTGCAGGTGGGCCTATATTTATTTTCTTCGGTATTGATTGCAAAGGAAAGCTTGCTTACTGATAAATCTGCTTCACTTTACAGCTTGTTGCAGATCTATTGCGTGCAACCCGTAACCCTTGCTCCTACCGATCTTCGAATTCCAATGGTACGCACCTGATTCCCATGTCATTGTTTGCATTGTCTTGTTCTCATCGGATCTCAATGTGGCGCCAGTTCAAGGCTTAATTTACGCGGAGCAGCTCAGACACTGGCGGTGCGCTGCTGCTGTTCTCTGTAGCGTCGGCTGGCGCGTGGATCCTCGATTGTTCAATATTCACGACCTACAAACCCTTGGTGACCTGGCCGCTCAAATGTCCGCCGCTCAAGCTGCACTTACGAATTGAAATGCGTTACGCCTATGCTTGCCTTGTCGATTGCTATGCAAACAGAAAACATAGTCAACAGGCAGGGAGGGCTTTAGAAGCAGAACAGTCCAACAACCACCGAAAAAGAGCGAGAAGCTGCTCCGTCTCAATTTGCCATGACATTGAATGATGGCAATGGTGCCTTGGTAGTGGCGGCTGCGGCACTGCGCGAGCTGCTGATGAGGGCGGCTCACCCGAGGATAAACAAAGCAAGCACGAGCACAAAAAAAAAGGACATGAAGCACAAGAAGCACCGAAAAGTAGCTCAAGATTTTTCACTGTCATCATGTACTATCTCCAGCACGTCTGACGGTCGGTTTTAGGTTGCGAGGAAGCGCGTAGGCTTGAGGAAGCGCTTTGTGAGAGGTTTGAGAGACGTCCGTTGAGACGAAGCAAAAGCTTTGATGGTGTCTTGAGGTCAATTGAACCAGCTGCGGTTGGCAAGCATTCACAGTGACCAGGCCAGGTGCACCGTTAGACTCGCTGCAGAACCTCTCGATCTCAAGAATAGGGAAAGTGCAACCCTTGCCTAACCGCAGGTGTCACAATAAAGGGAGACAGCAGTAGTCACAAGCTTAGTGCCCCAAGGCATGAGCCAGGAAATGTGAGGTCTAAGTGTAGGTGTGTATACGTGAGGTCACAGCAGCTATAGTGACCGACACAAAAGCAGTGGGAGTGCTCAAATGCGTGGAAGCACGGATTTGACGCTACTTTACTTTGCACCTTTCCGTTTCTATTTCCTGTTTGCTTTGTGAATTGACCACATGCAGATCATAACCTCAAAGTGGCAGTGGACCAGCTCCCTGCGAGAGCTTAATTGCCTGGCATTGACCTATGCACACCTATAATCTGGTGCATCTGATAGTCTGGGCGTACGAGCATCTTGAACCCAACGCAGTTTCACCATACACATAGGTCTCCCCGTGCATGCCATGGTATACACGAGCCTTTTCCATCGCTACTCCTCCGCCAGTCCCAGAATATCTTCTTCTCTGAAGATCGCTTGGCGTTTGTTAGGGTTAGGCAGAACCACATGGATCAGCAATCGCGAGTCGCATGCTGCACACTACATGGACAAGCGGGCCAGTGCGGTCATGATGGCGTACCTGATATTGTGCAAGCCGCTGGAGGAGTTGTTTGCTGATTACTTGCAAGATCGAGACGAATTGATCACGTCTGAGGCAATAGATCCCAATTCTTTGACGGAAGAAGAGCAAGATGAGCTCGAGGCAGACGCGATGGAGGACGAAGATTCGATTGAGCCCAACACCGTTGGCTCTGTTGACGACCAGCACGACGATCTACGAGCGGCCAAGCGTGTCGCACAGGAGGGCACGTATGAGCTGCTGTTCAACATTGCGCCAATGCAGCTCGAAAAACAGCTTCGGCCAGGCCAAGTCTACCGAACCATCCAGGCCGTGACCAAGCGGTTTCTTGGAACCAGCATCACTGTCAGCGCATGGCGGCACATGAGTGTGGCTTGGCTGCGTACACTGGTGTTGCATCATACGCCCGAGCCTTCATTGGGGGCGTTGAATGTGGCACACTCTCAAAGCCAGCATGCAGGCAGGACGGCACGGAATGTCTATGGCCGCACGCAGCTCGATCACAAGTTTGTGTCCAGTGAAGCACAGTACGGCCACCAGTTTGTGTCTGAGGAATGGCACAAGCTCATGAAGCTGGTAGACGCAGAGGATCAGATCCAAGCCAAGACCGTGAATGGACAGACCTGCGTGCAACAAGTGGTTCATAAACAGGTGGTCATCCAGTCGTCTCGGGTCAGGAACGCCAGCACACAGGTGCAAGAGACAGTGGGCACGCAAACAGATCTCGAGGTTGAAGCCTGCGGCGACAAGGACGTGGATGATGAATTGGTAGACATGCTAAAGGCGACAGCCCTGACCCGTGAGGAGAAACTTTCTTGGCCGTTTTATTTAATTGATGCTTCCAATTATGTTGTGTTGCCCCTTTCATCAACAACAAGCTTCCATCCATTAGTTCAATTTCAACCTTCTCACAAGATTTATCAAAACGATGCTTAAGAACGAATTTCGTGTTGGTGCTTGCCAGACGTTGCCCTGCGGTACTCAATGCCACCGTGCCTCTGAGGGCGGGCCTGGACGCTGAAATGACCAAGAAAGAGCTGGTTGAGCCCCTCACATCCCTGTGGCTGGCCCTGGTGGAGGTGGAGCTGAGCCTCTTTGACAACGACAAGGTGCACTTTGTCAACGTCTTCTTATTGTGCACGGCCATGTCCAAAGGAAGCGGCATCCTGCAAGACATCAGGCAGTGGACCACGACGCCCGCTGGACTGCTGTACGTTTTCAAATTGTTTCTGCTTCGCCGTGGCAAGAATGAGTCGTGGTCAGTGGCCAACGAGCTCAGGCCGTATATGTAGCCCGGGCGATTGGTGCATTTCTTGAGCCAGCGCATGAGCATGGCACGAACAGCGAGCGTGGCCGAGGGGCAGGCTGGAGTCGACGTCGAGGTCCGAGCCGATGGCGACGTGACGGACGAGACGCTGCGCACCATTGTCTGTCGAGGCATTGAGCTCAATGTGGAGGAGCTCGGGGCTGCATTGGAGCAGATGCGCAAAGACATGACGGAAACTTTGGACAAGCACCTCTTGCTGGACTCACGCCTGCGGAAAGATTACGAGAAAGAATATGAGCGGCTGCGATTGAAGGAGGATCGGACCAACAGGGTCAAGAACTGGTGGGTGGGCCATGGCAGTCCAGCCGAGAACGCGCTGTTTGATCACATTGGCCAGACCCTGAGTCTGCGGCAAGAGTTTATCCAAACCGAGCATGGGCCCAGTGGCGAGCTGACCTTTCGAGAGGACAGGGTACGGGTATGGCTCCTCTATGTGTGCAGGTTCAACGAGCTAGCACTCACCTACACGCACATTGCCGGAGGTACGATTGGAATCAAGCCGTCTCCTTGAATCAAGCCGTCTCTTTTTTTTTTTTTTTTTTTTTTCTTGCGCCACTCATGCCTGTTTGCATTTGACTAGGTCTGCCGCCACGAGCCTCTGTGTATCAAGGGCTGTCCTACAAAAACGGCGTGGGCCGGCAACGAGCCGCGTTTTTTGCCGAGAAGCAGCTCTCCATATTGACCCGCGTGAGCAAGACCTACTGGCTGTCCCTGAACGAACAGCACACCTTTCGATACATGGACCAGGAAATCAGCACGCTGATATTCATGTATTTGCTGCTGTGCAAGCCTCTGGAGCACATGCTGAGCAGCTGGCTGCAAAAGCGGGGCGGGCTGAAAACCCCCGACGACGAGAATGGCATTCACAATGCCGAGCAGGACGACGAAGATTTGCTCGACGACGAGCTGGATGAAGACCACATGAGCCACGACGAGACGATGACATTGCGACGCGAGGTCCGGGACGCTCGAAACCACTACAACAACAGCCACCTGCTCTTCAACATTGCGCCCCTGCAGACGATGGTCAGCCCAGCTACCATCTATGCGGCATTTCGTCGACAAATGACCACGTACCTACATCGGCCAAAGCTGGGGGTGGCCACGTGGCGACACGCCGCCACCTTCTGGATGACGACGTTTGTGATTAACCGACTGTCGGCCGAGACGACCAGGGCCCTGGGCAGCCTGATCCACACTCAAGCTCAACACTCTGGGGACACGGCCCAGCGGGCCTATGCGCGCACAGCCAGTGACCATGTGCAAACCAAAATGTCGTCGCGACTGATGCATCAAGTGGCCTCGCAAAAATGGCATGCTTTGTTTGGACTAGATCGCAAGCGCAGCATAGCCGAGTTGACCGCGAACCAAGAAGCATTGGAAGCTCGCTATCCCATCAGCTGGAACCCGGTGACTGACCTCTCGTCCGAAGCAAACGGGCGTATCATCATGAACACGAGGGCCGAGCATGACGTACCCTACATGACCCAGCTGGCCAAGCAGGCGAGCATCTCGTGGGGCCACAGTTTCAACAGCCAAGAACAGTTGGACCTGGCTGCGGCCATTGACCAGCACCGGCCGGAGGATGAATGGCTGATTGTTGTTGCCCCGACAGGCATGGGTAAAAACATTTTGTACCCTGCCCAAGCTGGGCTGTCGCCCGCATGCCGGTACGGTGCTGTGGATTGTGCCGTTTGTGGCCGTGGCCAACGATCTGTTGCGGCGATTTCAAGGCGCAGGTCACAGTGCCCAGCGATGGCTTGGTCCCTCTACACAGGTGGCAGATGGCCTGGACGTGCTCATCGTTACGACCGACATGTTTGTCCGCGTGGGATCTGAATCGCTACACGGAAAGGTCTGCTTTCAGCGCATCCGCACCGTGGTGATGGACGAGGCGCACACGCTCATCTCGGATGCCAGCTACCGAGATGTGATGGACGAAGTCGCAGCCAGTGTGGGTTCTGGCGGATGGACCAACATCAAACGCGTGGCGTTGACGGGCACACTTTGCATCGGGGACCAGGAGCATCTGTTTCGAAAGCTGGGTCAGCAAGTCGGGGGCAAGGTGTACCGTCTAGAGACGATGCGTCGCGATCTGCAGCTGCGTGTGCTTCACGGAAACCAGCCAAACTTTTTGTCGCATGTGCAAGCCATTGTGGACACGCAGCGGATGATGCGTCAGGCGAATGGGGAGCGTGTGCACATGATGGTCTTTTGTGACACCGTGAACGAGGTGAAGCTGCTGTGTGACCAGCTGCACGCATACGGCTACATGGCCTTGCCCTACTACACCGACCTGGAGG